TTTTAACTTTTATTTGCATGTGAATAAAAAATGCCATGTCCAGAGATATTTATAAACCTTTCAAAAATCGTTTATCAAGCCTTTAACGGCTGTCACTGATTTGCAGGCAGGCTGTGAGGCGGTGCCTCACCGGGCCACCGTCTATGCCCAGCTGGTGGAGTCAGAGCTGCTGTGGAGCTGGGCACAGCTGCAGCCCGTGGAGGTAGAGGGGCTCCGTCTGGTCCCACCGCCCGCCGTGGGCCGTTGTGCTGGTGCTCACTCGGTTTGTGACATCCAGCTGAGCCAGGTCTCCCCCTCCAGCTTTACCCCGCTGAGTCCTCTCTGCACCATGTTCAGGTAAAATAAGATGAACAGGTACTTTTACTTTTTATTTCCAGCATTTTATTGTCATTACACTGTCACAAGTACAGAGCAACAAAGTGAACTCTCTGCATTTAACCCATCTCCTTGGGGAGCAGTGGGCTGCCATTGTGCGGCACTCAAGGAGCAGAGTGGGTTAAGGATCTTGCTCTGGGACCCAGAGTGGCTGCCTGTGGGAGTGGGGCTTGAACTCAGAACCTCAGGATTCCAAGCGCAATGCCTAACCACTAGGCTGCCACTAACCAAAGCAGGCATTAGCATGAAGGGTCTTGCCTTAGAGCCCACACTGGCAGCTCATTCCACCCAGCTGGGATACGAACCCAGACTTCCTGTTTGCAGGAGGTGACTTACCGCTTGAGCTTTTCTTTTAGGGGTTTCCTGGTTCTCACTCCTGTCTGCTTCCTTCACAGTGTGGATTTCAGCAGACCAGTCAGCAGTGCCTTCCAGTCCCACTCCACCAGGTTTGTGGCTCAGACTGGTGGGCGGGCTCAGGTGGTGCTGTCCTGGTGGGACCTGGAAATGGATCGCAGTGGAACCATTGTGTGCAGCATGGCTCCTAGCTGGATGTACCCACAGCCAGCGATGGCCCCTGTGAGTAACTTATCTGTTCTTCAGGAAGCAGAAGATTTCACTGATGGAACAGCAGAAAGTTCAAGGTTTTTGCTCTGAATTGGGCTGAGTTCTGCTTCTGATGGTCTATGCCAGGCGTCTAAAACCTGTGGCTCTGTAGCAACTTGTGGATTTTGGAATCTCTACATGGCTCTTAATAGTAGTTAAAATTATATAAAGAAATATGGAATCTACTAAAATAACAATCCTGGAAGCTTTAGCGGTTTTTATAAGAATATTTGAATTGAATTTTCAAAACAGAATGACTTTAAAAGAACCAAAAATATGTTTTTTAGCTATTTTCATTTTATTTAACTGGGAAATTATGGTTTATTTTTGATTTTATTTTTTTTTTTTGATTTTTTTTTTATATACCGGTATATATATATATATATATATACATCAAAGAATCCTATAGGAAAAAAATCCTTGCTTCATCTTTTTGAATCGTTTTTTTTTTTTTACTAATTTCAAAAGCTAAAAATACAAAAAAAATATATGTTGTTTAAGATGGCAACAGATTTCTTATGGCAGATATTTAACAAAAATAATAGGTTTTGTTTAATTAAAAAGCAGTATTATATTTTCGGCTCTAGATAATTTTAACTTGGCCTGACTGAGATAAAATGGCTGAAGGTTGCAGACCTCTGGTCCCTGCTGATCACAGCTGTGTGTTACAGTGGCGGGATCACTGGATGCAGAGTGTTTACTTCCTGCCAGAGGAAAGCCGGGTGGCGGAGCAGGAGGAGCTCAGTCTGACGGTCTGCCATGACGACTACAGTCTGTGGTACAGCCTCCAGTCCCACAGGTCAGTTTGGAAAAGTTCTTTTTGTCTTCAGCGCTATAGAGGCCGCTCTGGCGGCAGATGTTTTACTAATTGATTGTTTTAGCCTCCAGGACGCCCCGGCTAAGGCCCCACCATCTCGGCCGTGTTGCACATGTCAGGCTCACCTGGTTTGGACTCGGTCCCGTTTCGGCGAACTCAACGACAGACGGCGTACCGGAAGCTACATCGCAGCTCTTCGGAGCGTACGTGAATCTTATCTTCATCACTGTGTGTGCATGGCTGTGGTTACTGCTTTTAATTAGCGCTGATACCTCCAGGTCCTGAGCGAGGACAGTGTGTGTCTCTCTGTCAGCGATGGAAGTCTGCTTCCTGTCTTCGCTCACATGCTGGGAGCCAAGAAGGTGAGCTAGCATTGCAAACCCACTCCAATATCCCTGCTCGGATTTTTTTACTGACGTTTGTGCTCCTGTTTTTGACTCAGGTTTTCAGTTTGGAGAACTCCAGAATGTCCAGACAAGTTATTGAGGAGGTAAAGCAAGGAACGGTGAACCCATAACATCTCCACTAATCTCCATTAATATTCTGACTGCATATCTGCTGAACATATGCAGTTAGAGTTCGCCCAGCTGGCATTGAAAAGCACAAACCTCCCAGAAATTCAGAGCGAGCATTTAACCCAAGAGTTATGTTGTAAACTGTGGGTGGACGCGCAAAGATAAGCCATGCTTCCACAGGGAAAACATGCAATATTTATTTAGAAAAAAAACAGAGGGCATAAATAAAACCCAGGGCGCATAAAACACAGGTATTCTCGACAAATAGCCTTTTTATCATACTTAAAAACATCTTCGATTTCAGGGCAAACTCCTACACCCAACGCCACTGTCACCCCAGTGGGCGAAACAGGAAGAAATCTCCAGCAGAACCAGACTCAATGTGAGCGGCCATCTGCCAAGGTCCACTGGGGTTCAAGGAGACAGAAGCAGACATAGAAAAAGAAGCAGAGATACAAAAGGCAGCCAGCTCCACAGACGACCAGTCCAGGAAACACACACCCAGGCAGACGAGCGCAGAGTCAGCACCTGTTTCAGAGGATGAAGAGAGCACATACAGTTAGTCACAGTGAGAGAAACAGGACTACACTGAAAAACAGGCTGATCTCCAACATCTATAAACAAAGGTGTTGATGGCAGCAGTACAGCTGATATTTCTCTCCAGGATGATGTCACAGCCAATCAGGAACAGACCAGATGAAGCTACTATGAAAAAAAAGCAGAGAGCATAACATTAGAGATTGAACTTACAAATACTGCAGAATGATGAAAAAGGGTCCCTAAATCCTCCAACACTCTAAGCCTATAGCAGCATAACTACAGAGATAGCCTGGGCCAGTCTAACTATAAGCTTTATAAAAATTGAAAGCTTTAAGCCTTGCCTTAAAAGTAGACAGGGTGTCTGCCTCAGACTGGAAAACTGGTCATTTTTTACAGGTTCTGTCTCATGCTAACCCGTTTAAGGCCGTTTCTCATCCAAAGAAGTGGGTTTGATCACAATTCCGCCAGAATTGTTATTCACTGCCACAAAAAAAGCAGGATTAAAATGCTCTTCAAGGACAATCCGAGCTTTAGTGGGAATTATCAGTGTATTTCCAGCTGGATGGTTTCTTCTGTGCAAAAAGGAAAAGGTAATCTTAAAGATCAAAAGCACCTTAAAGATCAAAACACTAGAATATTTGTGCTATGACAAATTACTTTACAGCAAGAAACCAACAGGCTACCTTCAACTCAGCACTAAAGTAAAGATTTAGATTTTAAGATTCAGTATATTTTTCATGCTTTCACTTGACCTGAAGTCAGCCCCAATCCCAGGTTTAATGCATACTAGGTGGGAAATTGGAGAAATCAAAGCCCTCGGTGTGTTTTTCTCTGCAGGTGTTGGAAGCCAACTCTGTAAAAGGAGGAGTTGAACTGCTGGAGATCCGACCTGAGCAGCTCACCAGTCAGGATCTGAGAGGCGAACAGGTACCACCTTCATGGTTACTGTCTGCCTGAAAAAGCAGAGATGTTACATATTTAACACAGGATTAGCTTCACAGAAGCACCTGAGCTTAATGATGAGGATTTAACTTTCAACCATTAAACCATTTAAAAACAAAGAAAAATAAGAAAAATTCAAAGAAAATTTTGATTTAAAAGATTCAGTAGAAAAACAATAAACTAACAATGTAGGATTATGTATTTTGTTGAAGTTTTTGACGTTTTGATTAAAACTCTAAAATGTTTGTCACAGTTTTTGACGTGATAAATTTGTATTTCCTTCAGTTCCTGCTGGTTTTAGAGCTGCTGGAACCTGCAGAACTTTATCAAAATCTGGCATCCACCAGGAAAAACCTGATTGTTGTTTTCTGTTTGCATGTTTTCTGTCCTTTTTGAAACAAACTTGAAAACAATAACTTTTTTAATATTTTCGGAAAAGGTCTCTTTACAAGTTAATGACAGATTTGTTCAGCAGATTTCGGTCCTGATGGGCGAGCCGTACTTCAGCACCAGTCTCCTGCCGTGGCACTCCTTGTTCTTCTGGTACTGTCGGACCGCTTTGGCGGGCATCCTGCGGCCCAGCGCCACCATCCTGCCCAGCTCTGCCTCACTGCATATGATGGCTGTGGAGTTCCAGGTCAGATATTCAGACCAAACCTTTTTTAAAATGCTTAAATTGAGAACTCTCCTCTCACAGCTTTCATAATCCTGACCGCTTTCTCAATCCTCCTCTGCTAAACCGGCCACAGACTTATGTTTAATTCAAACACTAGCTATGTTTACATTCCCAAAATGTTTCAGTTGGACTTCCCTCAGCTTCCCTCATTTAGAATGACGTGATCCTGTCAAGCATTTACATGCGTGTTGATCGGATGGTTGGTCTCTGTCAATAAAGCTCCTGTCACACCTTGCCGATTTGGCCAGCATATGCCCAACATTCCAGAATCTCCTAAAAGGCTGGCATACACTGAACTTTTAATGTAACTTTCAATTCAGTGTAACATCCATTAGTTTGTTGGTCCTGGGCGTGAATGCAGGGATGATCCATCACACTCACCTTCTCGCTCACCCTATGATGGGGATGAAGTCTGGAGGTTTCCTCCTGTGATCCCCTTTTATACCAAAACGCTGCTAACGCGCCATTATACAGTAGCTGTAAGTTAGAATCACGTTCAGCGGTCGTCTGGAAAACGTCAAATACGTTGAAATGCATTGGAGATAAGTTATGCACAAGCTACTCATAGGTTTTGGATAAGCTAGACGCCAGGACTTATGAGTAACTTACACTTAACATATGTCAGCGATCAAATAACTTACCTGTAATGTAGGCTCCATGTATGGCATACGCCGACATACGTGGGGAAATGACGTATTTGCCGTATGTCGACGTGCTTCAGCTTGCTCATCACTTATACAAATCTGACCCATAACTTATAACGTATGCCAGCGTTTTTGCCGGATTTTTCGTACATCAGGCATATGCTGGCTAAATCGTGAAGGTGTGACAGGGGCTTAAGCTGTCCATAATGATTTAAACTATGTCAATGTTTTGTAAATAAATCATAAACCAACTCTTTTAGTCAGAGGACTGTTTCAATCAAATCCTGCTGGATAAGAGTAGAATATTCCGACTAGCATGTTTAATTGACCCATTTTTAGTCCATATAAACATAGCTATCGATAAGAATGATTTAATTTATGATTACAAGGTGATTTAATCTTATTTTAAGGCTGCAGGAGCAATACTATTGATTGTCTATGTTTTCCTAAATTCACACCATCAGCTTTAGCATTTTACTGGACAATTAAATCACAATTGTAGAAAATGCAAACACTAATTGAAGGATTTTTATCCTCTATAATTTAAATACTGTCATTTTTACCTGATGTATAATTTTACTTTAAAAACATTTATTATTTTCCTGCTGAAAAAAAAAACATTTAAATCAGATCGTTCAAGATTTCCAAATAACCCTTAATGGCCTGTTCCTTTCCTGTTAGGATTTGTGGAGGATAAGAGCACCGTGTGGAACATGTGAAGGCTTTGATGTCTCACCCATGGATGAAATGATCCAGGTAAAGTTTAAAATCTAATTCAGCCTAAAACTAAACTGTTTAGTTAATCTTAGGCCGTTAATTCTTAAAAATTAACATTTTAGTAGTTTGAAAACTGGCCAATCTCTACAGTTTTAATGGAACTAATTGGTTTTGGGCTTCTCAAACAAGATTTAAAAAAGTATGACTACACCTCCCAAAGCTAAGCTCAGTCCCAGAAGGTGGATTCAGGTTCTGTGTGTCTGAAAGGTTTGTTTTTCCACAGCGGTCTCTGGATTTCCGTGAGTCCCGTGAAGCTGAGCCCCACCCCCTGTGGGAGTACCCATGTCGAGCTCTAACTCAGTCCACTGCTGTCATGACCTTTGATTTCACCCAGTGCGTCCCTAAACAGCCAATCAGCAGCCAGGGATCGCTGCCTCTTATAAGGTAGAATCACCTTCATTACAATGCAGAAATGTTTGTGTAGTTATTTTATATATTTTTTTTTATTTCAACAAATCTTTCTATTTAGATATATTTTTATGAATAGCTCTCTAATAACAGACTAAAAGGGCCTCATCTATAATGTAATTTAAGAGCTCAGTGT